AGCAGGCGTGCAGCGAACTGGCTTATTTTCTTTTTCTTTTCTTTTATTTTTATTCTTCTTTAAAGAGAAGCAGGGACAGCAGCCATGGCCGAGGAGAAGACAAGCGAGGTGCTGGTGACCCAGGGCGTCCAAGTGGATTATTGGGCTGCTCTCCAGAGGCCTGTCTCCCTGCCTTCCAATTGCACATACCCCAACCCAGCCAATGAAGACGAGAGCAGCGTGACAGAGTATTAGAAAAGCCCCGAGAATGTAACAAAAGAGAAAGCATGATGGAGTGCCTGAGAGACAAGTTGTCCTGTACTGCCCCCCTTAGAGATTACCTCAAAACCTCACTCACCAACTCTGCTTCTCAGTGAGAATATCTGTCAGTTTTTAATCTGAAAGAGACATTCATTGCCAAAAATCCAAGACAGATGAAATATAGGCTCAATGAATCCTTTTTTCCCTTCTTTCCTTGGTCTACGATGGATTTTGGATTTCTCATTCTCCGTAAGTGACACAATGAATAAACAACTACATTCATACCCCCAGGTACTAAAAAAGTTCACCTATCGGAAAGGCCTGGTGACCTAATATTCTCCCCGGCCAATCAGGCAGTCTGCTTCATTCCAGAATAATTTGCGACTGGCTCTCATATCTCCTTCAGAGAGGTACTCCTCTCTAGTACCTGGAGGACATCCAATGCTACCAGGGCACTTCAAAACACTTAAGCGATTTCAACAGCAGAATCTAAAGACTTGCCCTGCAGCCCAGTCTTTTAGTGACTGGGGATCTTGATTAATTTTAAAGATAAAAAGCCTGATGGGGTTGTGATGAGTAAGATAAACATTGAACTTGGGTCTTGAATCAAGCTGTTATTTACTGACTATAACCTTAGTTAAACTACAGCCTCAGAGGCAACAGTACCTAACCTCTTCTGGTAACTTAGCATATGCCAAGCACTGTGTTAAATGCTTTCCAAGCATTATCTCATTTCATTATCAATTACATCTCCATTCTAGGCATAAGGAAACAGAGGGAAAGGTTTTTTGCTTTGTTTTTTAACCCACGCAACAGCTTTATTCTCCATCTGACCTCAAGGCCTGAGCACCTAATCACTTCCTCACGTTCTAAATCAGAGTCTTGATTTCCTTAACTATGAAACTTAACCACCCACCTTCCCGTGGGGATTACGGAGAAGAAAGAGCGTCCCTGCCTACGTCCCTTCCAGATATACAACAGTGCGGCTTTTACATGAACTTCTGGAATTGTTTCCAAGGGAAAAACTGCTAGGACGTATACAAGTGCCACTCTGGCTAGGGCCCCTTCAGTAACCCTCAGACCAGTCTGTTATGGGGGAGTTCGCACTTGGGGCTTCAGAAAGCCGAGAGAGGCTCGGAATTTTCCCAACAGTGCCAGAGGCCGGCGGGAACCGGGTCTGTTTTCCACTTTTTGAAGATTTTAAAGAAAGCAAACCCCACGCCAGCAGCGGCGGGGCCCACTGCGGCCGAGAGGCGGGGCGGATGAAGCCGCCTCCCCCGGGCCTCACCGGGCGCGGCTCGGGGCCCGCAGCCCTGAGGCGCCTCAGGATGTCGGAGCCGGAGAGGTCGCTCCTCCCCACCCGCCAAGTCCTGGCCCCCAATCCCCCGCGTGGGTCCTCACGGAGGCAGCCGAGCCGCGGCGCCACTCCTCGCCCAGTTCCAGCAGATCCTCCATCCCGCTGCCTGCTAACGTCACTTCCTGGGAACCAAGCGGCCCAGCTGCGTCCCTAACGACGGCTCCGCCCTTCCATCCCAATATTTAAAGGGTCCGCCGCACAGTTCCTGGATTCTGCGTGCCACCGTCCAACTTAAACCAAATCTTTCCCAAACCTCCCTTGCTTGACTTCCTGAAGAAACCTCTAGATATTAAAACCTGCTAAGGCTGCTCCTGTGGGACAGTGACGTTTTTAGGAACTGTCTGCTTTGGAGCTCTTTTAAAATACATCAGTAATGAAGTTTAAAGCACTACCGCTAACAATCGTAATTATAATATTGGTGCCTGCCTTTTGTACAGCTCTTTGCAATGTACAGGGGGCCATCACAGTTATTAGCACATATGGGGGGTATACCTCATATTTGACAGATGAGAAAACAGGTTCACAGGGAGTCAGGTGTAACAAATAGTGTAGATGAATTATGGAAAATGTAATATACATAATCTTTGCCTTCAAGAAGTTTACAGAGAAGTTGAACCAACCCATCAAATACTTGAGTAGTAATAACTTTCAAAAGTACAAATATCCGATATCTCATTAAATCCCTACATCCCCACAAAGTGAGTAGCAGTAATATCTCTATACAACAATAGAGGACATTGAGGTACAAAGGAGTGGCTTGAGGAAAATCACCTGAAGACCAAGCAGCAGAGCCCGGTGCCCTTGTGACATCAGGTATTAGGGGAGTCAGCCATTCTCCAAGGGTGGCAGAGAAAACTGTCTCACAAATCTCCAGCCTAATGGGGCAGTTGAGTTGAATCTTCATCGACTTCCCATGTAAGATCCCCAAGTCAACACAACTGGCCCGGTCCCTGGCACTGGTTGGCTGAGACCCACAGGAGATAGGCTCATGGCCCTAAGAGTGAACAATATCCCCCATATTATGCTTGGGATAAGGCCTGGATGGCCATGGGTCAAAATCAAGGACTTGGAAGTGGGAGTAGCACCCCTAAAACCAGATTGCAAGCATTTGTAAGATATCCAGTAAATTCCAGTAAATTACTCAGTTCAAGCATTTATTCTACACATTTACTGGGTAGGACTGTGCACTAGCATGCCTTGTGATAGCAAGAGTACAGGCCAAGATGTCAGAAGAATTGAGTTCTCATCCTAGCTCTGTGGATAACCACCTGTGTAGCCAGGGTGAGCCCTCTGGATATCAGTTTCCTCCCTTGGAACTACCCTTAGAGATTACCTCTAAAATCCTCTACTCACCAACTCTGCTTCTCAGTGAGAATATTCTGTCAGATTTTAATCTGAAGAGACATTCATTGCCAAAAATCCAAGACAGATGAAATATAGGCTCCAATGAATCCCTTGTTCCCTTCTTCCTTGGTACTAGATGGATTTTGGATTTCTCCATTTCTCGTAAGCTGACACCATGCCACCACCACCTTATAGTCAGTTTCTAGACCACCACCCCACTTCTTCCCCAACTTCCTGAAAACAAAACGTGAATGGCCCTCATCTTGGGCACAGAGAACCCCTGGAATAGTGGCTTCCAAAACTTGCTGAGCATCTGAATCATGTGTGAGGTTTGTTAAAAAAAATATGGGTGGCAGAGCCCCCTCTCTGGAGACTCTGATTTGGTAAAGGTGGGGTCCAGAAGGGTAGAACTTTAATAATTTCCCCTCCATCTTGCAAGTGTTTGCTCCAAGGGCTCAATAAGGCCTTCCCTGGTCACCCTATTTTAAACTGCAACATCGACCAACCTAGGCACTCCCCATGCTCCTTCTCTGCTTGATTTTCTGCCATGGCACTTATCTTTTATCATAATTTATATCTTTTACATAATTTACATATTTATTTGGTTGATTGCTTCTCCCACTGTCCCATCCCTGCTCCTAAAATATAAGCTCCATGCGGGCAAGTGTTTTGTTTGTTTTGTTCACCGATATATCCACAGAGCCTAGAACAGTGTCTGGCATATAGTAAACATCAAACTATTCCTCAATTTTCAGAGGCAGTATATCCCAGTGGCACAATCATAGCTCGAATTCCTGGGCTTGAGCAATCCTCCTGCCTCAGCCTCTAGAGTAGCTGGGACTACAGGAATGTGCCACCAGGCCCAGGTAATTATTCTTATTTTTTTTAATGGAGACTGGGGTCTCCTATGTTGCTCAGGCAGGTCTCAAACTCCTGGCCTCAAACTCCTGGCCTCAAGAGATCCTCCTGCCTCTTTGGCCTCCCAAAGGGCTGGGATTACAGGTGTGAGCCACCGGGCCTAGCCTACTTTTAAAGTTGTTGCACCTAGGTTTCCTCATTGGTTATGCAAATGAAAATAATGCCTACCCAAACTAGGCAGCCCGTGTTAAATATCCCCTCCACCACTCACAAGCAGTGTGGCCTTTTGAAAATATCTCTGTGCCTCGGTTCCCTCAACTGCAAAACGATCCACCACTCTCCTGGGAGGCAGTGGACATCCCTCCGGTCAGCCGCCAGGAGCCAGACCTGCTAGGAAGGGTCCAGGAGTGCGGTGGGATGGGAGCAGCACTAATTCTCAGGCCGGCGCTCAGTTCGGACACAGTGCTGTGTTGGAGGGGGGGGCAGCAATGTGCCTTGCCTTCCCTCTGCGGCTCGTGGGAAAAGACCCAGGAGGTCAGGCTGAGGCGAACGAGAGCGGAGAGCAAGCTTCCCCTCACCCATCTGGGAAATGGGCTCGGGCCAACTGCTGACTTAGCGCTCGCTGGCGCAGCTCCCCGCGAGCCCGCGGCGGGGAGGGCGGCCGCGAGCGTCCGGACGCCGTTTCTGCGGGGAGCGGCTGGCGCGCGGCGGCCGGGCGGGCGGAGGTGCGCTCGTGGGGCGGCGGGGAGGCGACTCCCCGAGGCCCCGGGTCTTGCCGCTCTCGCCCTCTCGCTCGCGCAGCCCCCTCCACAGAGCCCCGGCCCCGCGCGCCTCCCGCGCCGCCCGCACTGGCGGCCTCGCCTCGCCAGGGGGCGCCCTCGGCCTTCCGGAAAGCGCCTCCATTTTCCACTGGCCCTGGAGCGTCTCCAGGCTTCCGCCGGCCGCCCGACTCCAGCCCTGTCAATGAGGAACCGCGGCCAGGATCGCCGCGGAGCTGGCCCCGACCCTGCAGCCCGCTCGCAGCCCGGGCGTCGCCCCGACCGCGGGGGCACGGCCGCCCGTGTCCCGCGCCGGCCGCACCCGCGCGGAGCGGAGTGCGGCCGGCGCGGGCGGCGCGGCGCGGGGCGGGAGGGAGCGGGCACCGGCCGCGGCGGCGAGCGCCGACTGACAGCTGGCGCGAGGGCGAGCGGGTCGGGCGGCGGGCGGGAGGGGGGCCGCCGGAGTAACTTTCCAGAAAAACAGCCAGCGTGTAGCAGGAGTGACTCCAAGAGGGGAAAAAAAGTTCAGTTACCACGTCGAACGAGGGGACTCGCAAAGTATTTTTCAAATGGGCTCGGCTTTTCCTGTGCCTGTTTAAAACATTAAAGTCGTGCAGCAAAAGAGGCTGCGTGCGCTGGTCCCTCCCTCCCCCACCCCGGCCGGAGACGTCATGGGAGGGAGGTATAAAATTTCAGCGGAGAGAAATAGAGAAAGCAGTGTGTGTGCATGTGTGTGTGTGAGAGGGAGAGGAGCGAGAGGGAGAGAGGGGGAGAAAGAGAGGGAGAGTGAGAAAGGGAGGGAAGCAGGGGCCAAGTCCCAGGGAATAGAGAGGCGAGAGATAGGGGAAGCAGCGTGCGAAAGAAGGAATAACAGCTTTCCGGAGCAGGCGTGCAGCGAACTGGCTTCTATTTTCTTTTTCTTTTCCTTTTTATTTTTATTTTCTTTAAAGAGAAGCAGGGGGCAGCAGCCATGGCCGAGGGAGAAGACAAGCCGAGGTGCTGGTGACCCAGGGCGTCCAAGTGGATTATTGGGGCTGCTCTCCAGAGGCCTGTCCTCCCTGCCTTCCAATTGCACATACCCCCAACCCCAGCCAATGAAGACGAGAGGCAGCGTGAACAGAGTCATTTAGAAAGCCCCCGAGGAAGTGTAAACAAAAGAGAAAGCATGAATGGAGTGCCTGAGAGACAAGTGTGTCCTGTACTGCCCCCACCTTTAGCTGGGCCAGCAACTGCCCAGCCCTGCCTCTCCCCACCTACTCACTGGTGATCTGATTTTTTTTCTTTTAACATTTTTTCCCCCTTTCTTCTCCATTCTCTTTTCGTATTCTCCTTCAGGGCAAGACAAGGATTTTGATTTTGGGACCCAGCCATGGTCCTTCTGCTCCTTCTTTAAAATACCCACTTTCTCCCCATCGCCAAGCAGCGTTTGGCAATATCAGATATCCGCTCTATTTATTTTTACCTAAGGAAAAACTCCAGCTCCCTTCCCACTCCCAGCTGCCTTGCCACCCCTCCCAGCCCTGCGCTTGCCCTCCACCTGGCCTGCTGGGAGTCAGAGCCCAGCAAAACCTGTTTAGACACATGGACAAGAATCCCAGCGCTACAAGGCACACAGTCCGCTTCTTCGTCCTCAGGGTTGCCAGCGCTTCCTGGAAGTCCTGAAGCTCTCGCAGTGCAGTGAGTTCATGCACCTTCTTGCCAAGCCTCAGTCTTTGGGATCTGGGGAGGCCGCCTGGTTTTCCTCCCTCCTTCTGCACGTCTGCTGGGGTCTCCTCCTCGCCAGGCCTCGCCGTCCCCCTGGCCTCTCTCCCCGGCTCGCACATGAAGATGCACTTGCAAAGGGCTCTGGTGGTCCTGGCCCTGCTGAACTTTGCCACAGTCAGCCTCGCTCTGTCCACTTGCACCACCTTGGACTTTGGCCACATCAAGAAGAAGAGGGTGGAAGCCATTAGGGGACAGATCTTGAGCAAGCTCAGGCTCACCAGCCCCCCTGAGCCATCAGTGATGACCCACGTCCCCTATCAGGTCCTGGCCCTTTACAACAGCACCCGGGAGCTGCTGGAGGAGATGCAGGGGGAGAAGGAAGAAGGCTGCACTCAGGAAAACACCGAGTCGGAATACTATGCCAAAGAAATCCATAAATTCGACATGATCCAGGGGCTGGCGGAGCACAGTAAGTCCAAATTCTCGCTGGGGCTTCTGCTCTGGAGGGTCTGAACTGGAGTAGGGAGCCCCGTGGAGGGGCCTGGTGCTGGCCGTGCAGGAGGCTCAGGAGGTGCGATGCGCGGTCGGGGCTGGGGAGGTGGGTGGGGAAGGAGACAGAGCCGTTCTGGGAAGAGCTGGACACTTCTGGGAGGCCAGGAGCCTGGAGCCAGTGGCTTGCCGAACTCCCATCACATCCTTGACTGATTTTAATTTGGAATTACGTTGTGTTGTCCAGGGAAACATATGTGTTCTTGCACATGCGATCGTGTGGGTGACTGCGAGCATCTGTGTGCCATAGCGAGAGAGCCCTCCAGTTCTCCGAGTCTGAAGACCTTGGTCTTCTCCCTGCTTTTTACAGCTCTCTGTGACACGTCTCCGGGTCAGTTTTTCCAGTTCTTGGGAAGAAGGGTACCTGCCCTAAATTAATGTCTGTCAAGCTTTTTGAAGCCTAGGCAAGAGACAGCTTCTTGCTGCCTGGGTCCTTTGGTCTACCCCACCCACGTGACCCATGTGAGCATGTGTAATGGGGAGAGGGTACACACGTATGTTCACATTTCCCGGTACTTTAGGGCGACATATAGTCTTGTGTGGTACAATAGACAGATTCATGTGCTCAAAATGGGCGCCCTCCAGGCCGGCGGCCGGGGGAGCAGGGTTTCGGCTGTGGATGCGCAGCAGAGGGCTGGCGCCCTTTGTGTCTGCGTGTCAGGGAGAGTGGGTGGGGGGCAGTGGGTGCCGGGATGTGTCTGGGAGCAGGCCTTCCCTGGGGGCTCCCCTCCGTGCCTGGGAGCTGGGCAGCTTCTTGGTGAGACGTCTGTGTGTGTTTGTACACGTGTGGAAGTCATGTGTGTTTACTGAACGGGGATTTTAAAAACCTCAATACAAGAGAGAGAAATTTGGCAGATGTTGAGAAACTGACAGCCCAGGAAAGAGGAATGTGAGCCACTTGTGGGCCAGAGACTCTGGGAGCAGCTCTGTTTGCTTTTCCTACCAGCAGGTGTCCTCGCCGCCCTGACTACCTCAGCCCGGGCCCACCTGGGAGGTGGCGCAGGGGGCGTGGGAGGGAGCCGGCAGGGGGAGGGTGGGCAGGGGGTGCACAGCAGGGGTTGAAAGGAGCCTGGCTGGGGAGGAGCAGGAGAGGGTGCTGATGGGCGGACCAGCTCTGGCTGAAGGTGCAGAAGGCCCTGTTTGGGGCTGGCCCACGCCGCCGGGCAGCGGAGGCTGTGGTTACTGGCGAGGGGCTCCCACTCCAGTTTCCTGTGGCTGCCTGGGGCGCCCTTCCTTAGGATGTGGCTGCCGTGTGGGGCGGAGGCTGAGGCTGAGCTCGTGCTCCCTGCCCTGGGTCCTCTGGGTGGGGCTGGCTCAGAGTCTGCCGGGGTCCCCTAGCTCCCAGAGGCACTCAGCAGCTGGAGGACTGAGCCCCCGACTCCCTGGGCACCCACCAAGCAGGAGATGGTGGCCACAAACTGTCAGAGGAGGGTCAAAATCTGAGGTCAGCAGGAGAGGTCTGAGGGGAGTCCAGGGCAAGAGGGCAGGACTGGGACCTTAATGGTCTGGGTCAGGAGGAGGAGTCAGAGGGAGGAGGGAGTCTGAGTCACGAGGGCCCACCCCGCCTGGAATCCTGAGCTGAGAATGAATGAGCCAGAGGGATTCGGGGCCACGCAGGTACAAGCGGACGTTGATTTTGTGCAGAGACTCGGGGCACACAGAATGGACAGCCTTGGGAAAAGCCAGGGCAGGGCCCACAGATCTGGGCAGCTCCTGGGCTGCAGCACCAAGACCTTACAGCTGCAGCAGATGGGGGGCCGTGGGGCCACGGAGCAGTGGTCTGGCCCAGGCCACCCGGCACAGGCAGCAAGATACTGTTTGGGATACGGAGGAGCACCCAGAGGGACAGGGCGATGCTATGGAGGCTCCCAGGTGCAAACAGGAAGCAGGCCCAGACTCTGCAGCTGTTGGAGGTGACACGGAGGCTGAACAGACACAGACCTGGGCCCGCCCTGCAGCTGGTCAGCCTCCAGAGGCAGACGCACGAGGCATGATAATTATAAAGAAGACAGTTGGGCAGACACTGAGCAGGAGCTGACAGCCATCCTCAGAGGCACGGGGTGAGGGAAGCCTGTCCTTACCTCGTGGGGGCAGGTGGGGTGGGACCAGGTCTGTGTGAGGCACCAGCAGGGGCTCTATGCCAGAGCTTCTGCTGGGGAACTAAGGAGATCACGCTGTCTTCCGAATTTCACCACTGGGTCACCTCCATTACCCAGAGGAAAGGCACTGAAGGGCAGTGACATTAGGAGCTGGGGCAAGGGGCCAGGGAGGAAAGGGGAAGAAGGAATGCTCATCAGCGGTGCCGGAGAAGGGGCAGGGAGGTGAGAGCAGAAAGGAAGGCTGGACACTCTCACCTCCCTGTTTTACAGATGGGGAGACTGAGATGTGGATCAGTTAAGTAATTTGTCCAAAAGCCTAGACATGCTGCATACAGAACATATGCTGTTAAGCACAAAGTACACATTTTAAGTCCTACCTTTAACCTTTAGGGTTCAATAGAAATTTGATTTACAACATAAATGAATCATATTCATATGTTCGACCAAGCAGGAGGGGACAGGACTTATTATCTTAGTGGCCCAGGTGGCAGAGTGCATAGGGATAACTGGATTTGTTCTTTCTTAGCGATGCCTATTTTTTCTCAGGAAATTCATACTGCCACAAATGTTCTCCCAATTTTAATGAAAGGGCTTTCTTTCTTTAATGAGCCTCAGGTTAAGCAACCATAGCCATGCTAAAATCACCTCTCTGAGCTCCAGTTTCCTCATCTGGAAAGTCAGAGATGGTCTCCAAACTCCCTTTCAGCTGAAAGGATTTTATAATTACATCTGGGATGATTCAACAGTCTCTGCTGGGGAGTACAGACAAAACTTTGTCACCCCTTTTATAACTCTCCAGGATTTTGCTATGGGAAGTCAGTCGAGACTTTCTCTGACCCACGTGGTAGGGACATGGCCTTTTCAGTTCTTCTGTCATCCTTCTTACCAAGACATTGCCAGTGTAGGTGTTGTTTTATCTTCTGGCTTGTAATTATCTGTGTCTGCTGGGAGGCTCTTCTTGTTTTTGGCCAAAGGCAACTAGCAAAGAAAAAACTTAGTATTTTAGACTTTCTTTTCTGACTGCTAAAGGTAGATTTTGTTCATTCTGAAAATTAAAAGACACTTCATATTGCAAGCTCGCTGGCCCGAATGGCATGTGAACATGGTAGGTCAGCGCTTCTCCAGGTGTGGTCCAGAGGTGAGGTACATGAGGTCTCCCAGGCCCCACCCCACCCTTACAGAATCAGACTCTCAGGGGCGTGGGGCTCTGGGGAATCTGTATTTCCAACAACTCTGTAAGTGAGCTAGGGCAAAACCTTTCCTTAGAAGGATTGTAAACACAGGTGCCCACAGAGACCAGGAGGGAAATGCAGGTAATCTAGAAGAAAAGCCATGGCACACGCCCAGGATGAACTGCCCAGGACACGTGGCCTTGGGGTCATGAAGAAAATAGGGTGTGTGTGGCAGGGGCAGGGAGTGAACCTGGAGCCCACGTGCCCTGTTAACAGAGGCAGCCGCTATTCAGTCCTTGCTGGGTTTTGTAGTCAGGAGTGTGGGTCCAGCTCGACTAGCTTTTACTTTTTCCCAAAAGAACAGAAAACCTGGCTCTTTCTGTAAAATCGTCCAATTTTTAACACGGGCTTAGAATGTTTATGGGCTTCTAATTCAAAATTTTTCAAGATGATGCATTGGCTAAACAACATGTCTAATTCATTTAAAAGTGAATCCCTTTAAACCATTAAAGTTTAAATGGCAGTGGTTTCTGAAAGTTCAAGAACACCTGGGAGCCATGGTACCCGTTGCAGAACATTATAAACTGTGGTTCTCAACTTTGGCTGCACATTAGAATCATCTGGAGATCTTTTTTAAAAAAATGTTGTGTTTGTACCCACTCACTCCAATGTAGTCAGAATCGCTGGGGAGTGGGTCCAGGCAACATCTGTTTTTAAAGTTCTCCAGGTGATTCTAATGTACAGCCAGGATAGAGAAGTACAGCCACACTCATATATACAGTCCCTTCGTTGGAACCAGCAGAGATGATGTATGCAAGCAAAGGCACACCTTCTAGCCCAGGTGTCTGAAAACACTTTAAAAGGCAGTTAACTAAACATGGTCAGCTATTTCCTGGTTTTTCCATGAATCCTCGACATGAATATCTTTTGCTTGTTTTTTTGCTCCCTAAAACAGAGAAAAATGGCATTCATCAATATATATTTTTCTGTGCAATGGAAAAAATTGCTCATAATTTAATTTGTAAAGGTGGGACCCCTAATCCGGCTCTCAGTAATACTAGTGTTCTGCAGAGGCATGGCTTAGGAAACACGAAACTGATTGGCAGCTGGCCCTGTTGCAGGTTGGTACTCTAGCCCCATTTCATGGAATCCTGCCACATTTTGTTCCTGAAACCATCTCCACTAGATGATCTCCCATGTCTCCTCTAGTTTCTAGAGTTTGCTTCAGTAAATAAGGGGTAGTCAGAAGACCTGGCTTCAAATCTCACCTATGCTACCTGCTAGCTGAGTGACCTGCTAGCTGAGTGACCTAGCTAAAGTGACTGGTGCTCAGTTTCCTCATTTGTAGAATGATAAATCGTATGTATTCGTATTCTCCTCAAGGGTTCTTAGAGGGTGAGATGAGTTACTAAAAGCTCTCTGCAATATAAGGTGGTGCTATTACATTTTGTTTATTTACACTATAATTCATTGCACAAATTATTTAAAACATCATTATTATTCACTGGATTTAATTGTCAAGAAGATTCTATTTACATTTTCTTTTCTCCCCCAGGCAATTCTCTTTAAATCACTAGTAACTGTGTCTCAGCTTTGCTTGCTAGTGTCAAGCGGCTCGTGTCAGTTAACTCACATATGACCTTGGCCAAGACCCTTCTGGACTTCGGGTTCTTCCTCTGAAGAGGACTGCGCTCGATGACTCCTGATGGACCTTCTAACGCAGCAGTTGGCAATCTGTAGCTCCCAGTGACAGAAAATGAGCCTGCCCGCCTCCTTCTTGAAATCTCCTTACAGTTCTCACCAGGAGAATTGGAGGGAGCAGATGTAGGATTGTCAGGCAGGGAGAAACCAAAGAGGACGGTCACTAGGTGTCCCGAGGACTCCCTGAGCTCATTGCTTCCCGAGGACTCCCTGAGCTCATTGCTTCCCATCTCTGGCTCCCCACTGCCCTGACGCCACTGAGTCTCCGCACCAGCAGGTGCTCTCTCCGCTCCCCTTTTGCTTTTTACAGCAAGGTGCACTTGGCATTGACCCTCTATTCCTCCTGCTGGAGGTGCTGTTACAACTGAAGCCGTACTGATGACAGCTCCGTCCTTGAGAAGGTGGCCAGTTCAACTAGCTTATGCACGTCCATAGCATTTCAAGCTTGCAGGCTTACACACTGGATTGCTGTCACTGATCCCTCTCCAGTTCTATCCAAAATGGTTTGGGGAATAGCGGGCAGTATGTGTTCTCTCAAAGCCAATTATTAATCAAGGCTTCATTAGCCTGCATTCACACATTTGTTTTTCTAACAGCTGTTCCATTAATTTTCTAAGAACCGATGTCAGGCTGACCAGATGGCAATTTCCAGAAACACTCATTCATCCTTTCCTAAAGATCAGTAGCGCATGTGCTTGTTTCCAGGCCTCTGATCCTTCCTGCCTTGTCCGTGACTTCCTGAGTCACCCCTCAGGGTGATCGTGAGCTCATTCCAGCCCTGTCCATTACATGTGGAATCTGGGTCTGTGAGCCTGAATTTCACGTTCTGGCTATCGTGACCGTTTGTGTAGAAAGTCTTTCTCTGGGTGTTAATGCTGCGCAGACCTTGAGGTTATGAAGTACACAGGAGCAGGAAAAAAAACAGGATCTTTCCTTTCTTTGGCTCTGAGGGGTGAGAGAGAGCATTGGTTGCCTCTGTCTTGTGGACAGGGATGAAGAGGCCACTGGGTGACAGAGGCGGGCGTAGCACATGCTGTCAAGGAAAAAGATCCTCAAAGAGGAAGGAACCAATGGTGACCAAGCAGCTCAGTCTGAAGAAACACCTGTGTTTCCGCCAGGCTCAAAATGTGGGCTGTTTGCCACATAAACCCTCCTTTATTAGGTCTGAAACACGGGGCTGATATGTCACTGTGCTGCTCGGACACTTTCTGTGCTCCCTATGGTTAAGAGAATACAATTTTTAAATTATATTTGGAGGCCAGGCGTGGTGGCTAAAGCCTGTAATCCTAGCACTCTGGGAGGCCGAGGCAAGTGGATTGCTTGAGGTCAGGAGTTCGAAACCAGCCTGAGCAAGATCGAGACCCCGTCTCTGCTATAAATACAAAGAAATTAATTGGCCAACTAATATATATAGAAAAAATTAGCGGGGCATGGTGGCGCATGCCTGTAGTCCCAGCTATTCGGGAGGCTGAGGCAGGAGGATTGCTTGAGCCCAGGAGTTTGAGGTTGCTGTGAGCTAGGCTGATGCCAGGGCACTCACTCTAGCCTGGGCAACAGAGTAAGACTCTGTCTCAAAAAAAAAAAAAATTATATTTGGAGAGGGAGATCTCACTATGTTAGGCTGGTCTTGAACTCCTAGCCTCAAGCCATCATCCTGCCTAAGCCTCCCAAGTAGCTGGGACTACAGGCATTCAGCCACCATGCCCAGCAACAGGGTAAAATCCAACCTTTCCATCTGACGTATGGCCTCCCTACAGAGGACCCCAGCCTTGCTGCCTCAGAGCAGCATCTCCCCCTCCCTGCCTCTGCTTCCGGCAGCCCTGCCGTGTACAAGTTCTTTCCTCGTCACCCTCAAACCTTCCTCCTGCAGGGCCCAGATCGACTATCACCTCTTCTGTGGAGTGCTCCTTGCTCTCTCCCTCCTTTGATTTCCTATAGCAACTCCTGGCCTTCTGCAGAGACCCTGTCTCTGGCCCTGTCAGTCGGGTCCCAGTATCGACAACTTCCCTGGATATTAATCCCATCGACGCAGAGGCTGCATCTGCTCGCTTTCTGCCTCCCAGTGTCACCACTGTGCTTGGCACATAGCGTTTGCTCAGTACCTGCTTGGCAGGGGAATGAGTGTCGGAATGAACAAACACATGAATGCATTAACTAGCTATACGATCTGTGAACTACTAGGGGGATTGCCGACATCTTCTGAGAATCCGTGTTTTCTAAGAGTAAACAGGCTGGCAAGGCAGTGGGAGCAGAGGGCAGTTGCATTTTGCCGGCCAGTCTCTAGGGCCACGTCCTGGGGCTCTGACTCCCACTGCTCCTTGCTCAGGACCCTGTATGGTTCTAGGGTCACCAAGAAGCTTCCCCCTATCTCCACCTTTAAGTCTGAGGGCTCAAGCCTCCAGGGAGGCGACTTGGTGTTGGCGGCGGCACACCATTCCTGTGGCCCTCACTCAGCTGTGCCTCTTCCCGTGGCTTTCTCTCCTAGATGAGCTGGCCGTCTGCCCCAAAGGAATTACCTCCAAGGTTTTCCGCTTCAACGTGTCCTCAGTGGAGAAAAATGGAACCAACCTGTTCCGAGCAGAATTCCGGGTCTTGCGGGTGCCAAACCCCAGCTCCAAGCGCAACGAGCAGAGGATCGAGCTCTTCCAGGTGAGAAGCCAGTTCCTTTGCTGTGTCAGGCCCGTGCTGGGCACAGAGTCCCACACACCCGAGCTTGAGTCCTGGCTTCTCTGAGCCTCAGTTTCTGTATCTGTATCTGTCATTAAGAGGAGTAAGAATGACGGTGCAGAAACCTTTAGCTTCCTGTGGCTGCCCTCACCTGTCCTCCTGCGTTGTGCCACATCCTCAGGTACTCTGTCCTGGCCTTGGGTACTAAATCCTTTCTCTACCCATAGATACTTCGGCCGGATGAGCACATCGCCAAACAGCGCTATATTGGTGGCAAGAATCTGCCCACGCGGGGCACTGCTGAGTGGCTGTCTTTTGATGTCACTGACACTGTGCGTGAGTGGCTGCTGAGAAGAGGTGGGTCGACCCTAAGGATGAGCATCTCAGAAGGAACCTCAGGGTCCTTGCTCCTTTGTGCAGTGGAGGGAAGAAGGCAGAGTGGGGGGCGTCACACACCTGGGTGCAGAGCCCAGCTTTGCCGCTGAGCCTCTGTGTGTCCCCCATCCATTCCCTCAACTACAATCATCTTTATTCAGTGCTCACTCTAACCCAGGCCTTGGGAGGTAGCTGTGCACAGACAGGTGATGTCCCAGATCTCATGGGGCTTTTGTTCTGGTAAGAAAGACACAGAATAGGCCAGGTGCGGTGGCTCACGCCTGTAATCCTAGCTCTCTGGGAGGCTGAGGCGGGCGGATCGTTTGAGCTCAGGAGTTCGAAACCAGCCTGAGCAAGAGTGAGACCCCGTCTCTACTATAAATAGAAAGAAATTAATTGGCCAACTAATATATATAGAAAAAATTAGCCGGGCATGGTGGCACATGCCTGTAGTCCCAGCTACTCGGGAGGCTGAGGCAGCAGGATCACTTGAACCCAGGAGTTTGAGGTTGCTGTGAGCTAGGCTGATGCCATGGCACTCACTCTAGCCTGGGCAACAAAGTGAGACTCTGTCTCAAAAAAAAAAAAGAAAGACACAGAATAAACAAGTAAACATTGGAGGAGTAAGAGTTTGAAACAGTGGAAAGTGAAAATAGAAGGAGGGCAATGTGGTAATGGGGCCCAGCATCTGCTGCCCAGGGAAGGCTCTAAGACAAGGCATTCCTGTGCTGGGGTCGAGTGATAAGCAGAGGTCAGCCCGTGAAGGTCAAGGTGAAGTACGTCCCCAGCAGAGGAGACAGGGAGGCCTGGGCTGTCAGGTGGAAACTGCTTGATCTCTTCTAGCAGCAGCAAGCAGACTGGTGTGGTGGGAGCGAGGTGAGCCGGGGCTTGGGGGCGGGGATCGGAGAGGTTGCTGGGCCGTGTAATTTAATTTAAGACCTGTCAGGCCATGGGAAGGTCTCAGGACTTATTCCAGGTGTGATGAGAAGCCGTGGGAGTGCTCTCAGCAGGGCTGGGGGTGTGGGTGAGGTGATTTGGTTAAATCTTTAACAGATCCCTCTGGTTGCCATGAGGTCAAGAGAGGAGGCAGGATGCCCGGTTAGGCCACTGCAGCCGCCCGGACCAGGGCATAGGGGCTCAGACGAGGGTGGCGGCAGTGGGTGTGGAGATCACATGGATCTGCTCCGTGTTTGGAGGTAGAGCCAAGAGCACTGGCTGACTAGGTATGGGTGTGAGGACACAAGACGAGTCCCAGATGACTTCCAAACTGTTGGACTGAGCATCCAGATGGTATCACTTACTGAAACAGGGAAGACTGGGAGAAGAACGGGCTTGGCCAATTCCGTTTGAAGGGCCCGGTAGTCTTCCAAGTCGAGCTACCCACTAGGCATGGCAAGCGTCACATGTCCCAGATGCCTTACCCACTCACCTTGACCCCTCCCCTGGAAAACACGGTAATGGTCACTCCCCTGCGTGCCTCACAGAGCTGTTTCAAATGTATTTGAGAGAACCTCATAGCTTTCAACATTTTGCAAGAGTGAGCTTTTATGATGTCAGATAAGGAAACTGAGGCTCAGAGAAGGGAAGTGACTTGTCCAAGGCCATCTAGTCTGGAGCAGAGATTTGGTGTCTGCTGACACTATGCCCTGTGTTTCCCTCCCTCTCCTTGGCTGGCACTGCCTGGTCTGGCTGCTCAGTGGGGTGGGTGACACGTGGCAGTCCCAGCTGTCCCTCCCCTCCCTCTTAGGAAGGGTTTTCTGCCATCAGCAGCTGCTTTAAAGCCAGAGGCCATCCACACATTGACGCCCAGAGTCCCTGACGCAGGGGGATCTTCCCATGTCCCCGGTGTTTTAGAAAACGAGGGGTTAAGGCTGGAAGGCAGCATCACAAACTGCTTGGCCTGCATATTGTTTTAAAATTTAGCTAGTGGTCAACAATTTTTTTTTTTTATAAAGTCAGGAGATTTCACATAAAACCTGGACTTCTGGCTTTTCTTAAAAAATTGGAAGATTTCCTGGTAACCACCCACCAGGAAAGTGGTCCTGGCCACCTCTTCGGGGGGGGTGTGCATCTTCAGTTCCCATGGCCCCCACCGTCCTCACTGTTCTCCAAGAGCGAGGTTGGCAGTTCCTATTTAGCATCACATGATGGTTCGATTTGCTCACTTATGTGACCTGCCTGGGCTCTGTAGGCATCCGGATTTGCAAGTCCCCATCTAAGGGACATTATTGAGTGGCTGAGTTGGGAGCTGGTGGGCTGGAGGTCCTGCCCCTGTCCCAAGGGTACCCAGGAATTCCATCCTGTCCCTTCTGCCGAGCATGAAGGCAAAAGCCGAGGCTCACCCACGTGGGTCTGCCGACAGCAGCACTGTTGGGAATTCTGACTCAGACGGCACTCTGCCTGGAGCCCGACACCGCTGCCGAAAGGAGGGGCTGGGGAAATTAATCTCTTAGCTTCCCTGTCTGATTTTGATCAGGTCCACCTGGATTTCTTTGAAGCCCTGGGCACTTGAAGGAGTTCTTATTTTCACAGCTGCAGAACTCAATGAGAAGTTTGCATTGAGAATGATTTCCATCCTCCTGAGACATCAAAAAGATAATTTCGTAATAAAACCTATGGGTCCCCCACCCACCATCCCCACGCCTGCCAATTCTGAGGTTGGTTCTTCATTGGAACCTTCAGTTCCCATTTAGGCAAATACTGCCCACCCCTCCCACAGGGGAATCGTAACACAGGCCTTTACTTACACAGAGCTCACGAGTCTCTCAGCCCCAAACCAGGCAGCAAATGGACTCCAAATTGGAGCAGTTGATAGTGTGGTTTGATGAGGGAACTGAGTCACACATGTGGTCTCAGATTCACAAGGGTATGAGGACCTGGGTGCCCAGTGACCCTGGATAGGGCCCCAGCCAGCTCTGACTGCAGCCAGCCGGCTCCTGGCCGTCCATCTGTGTTGGAATCCTGGCATTGCCACCTACTGGTTGGACACCTTGGGCAAGCCACTTAATTTCCCTAAGCCTCAGCAGCCTCATCTGCACAATGGGGGGATAAGAATAGTTCTTCCTGTGTAGGATTATTCTAGAGATTAAATGAGTTAATGCTGATAAAATCTCAGAGCAGTGTTTGATGTTGGTGATTGCTGTCATCATCTCTACCTAGATAGAGCCTGTTGGCCAATCCGGGTCATGCTGGACCTCCTGCTTACCACCTGTACCCTAACACTCACTCTCCCCAACACAGCTGTCTGCACCTCGACTTTCTAACGCACAGAATCATAGAACTTGCCCACTCCAGGTCTCTTCAGTCCACCTTGAACCAGTCTGAATGGGAAGTACACTGTGTTGTTAGGTGGCCCATTTCCGATATTCCAGCTCCTTCTCCCAGCTGCCTTAGACGAGGGCGAGGACACTCCTCATGCCTCCCTCTCTGTTCACTTCTCTCGCTGGGGCTCAGCTGCCTTGTTGCTGGTCTGCCTTTCCCCCTGAGCTGACTCTCTGGAACAGAGTTTCATGCCCAGCAGGTGTTGGCATGTCCCAGGGGTTGCCCTCACTTCTTGGAGCAGAACAGATCTTTTTGGGCTCTGGAGTTTATGGAAGAAGGGAGCAGCTGGGTTTTTTGTTTTTGTTTGAGACAGGGTCTCACTCTGTTGCCCAGACTAGAGTGCAATGGCATCATCATAGCTCACTGCAACCTCAAACTGCTGGGTTCAAGAGATCCTCTTGCCTCAGCCTCCCGAGCAGCTGGGACTACAGGTATGTGCCACCATACCCGGCTAATTTTTTTATTTTTTGTGGAGATGGGGTCTCACTGTGTTGCTCAGGCTGATCTCAGGGAGCTAGTGTTTAGCCAGTAGGACTAGGATGGCCACCCACCTAACAGTGACTATCGTCGCCAGGCTTGTACCGTCCTGCCTGTGAGAAGGATGTTCAGCCAGGCTAGACTCTTGGGGGTTTTCCCTAATGACATCAGATTTCAGGAAGAGCCCCGGTTGGCCCCGAGGCCAGATATTCAAATATATTGCGTGTGGCCTCAGGGGGCAGTAAATCAATCAGTTCACTGAGAAGCCGACCTTGAACCTAGAGGGGCCCCTCCCCCATGACCTCTTCCACACCTGGCCACAGCTGACTGCTACGCCAGGATCAACAGAACCTTCTAGGCATGATACCAGAATTGACGTGATACTGGATCCTGCCTGGTTTCCCTGTGTAAAACTACTTCATTCAGTATAAACTTTTCATATACTTTTTCCTTTTTTCTTCCCCTTCATTCGACCCCATTTACCGATTTCCTTGCTTCCTTGATTTTGGTTGCGAAAATACACAATACCACAAGTACCAGGAGCAGGGGCCAAAGCTGGCCTTCATGCACCAGAATGTCCGTCACCAAACCCTGGCACCTCCAGTCTTCCTCACACTCATTCTCTCCCAGCTCATGTCATCTGGACCCTTGGCCATGCCCTCTGTCATCTCTGGTCCGTTCTCTAAGTTCACAGCTGCCTTCTTGAGCTGTTCATCTTAGCGAGCGATCCACATTCCAGCTTCCCATCATGGTGAGTAAGGGTTCCAAAGGAGAAACATCTGAGTAATTTTCACCTCATCCTGGTTCCTTAGGAGAAACACTGCCAAGTATAACCATGATGTTCCCCTTATCTCCTGGAATCTACCACTTTCTCCATATCCACCATCATAGCCGGGTGGAAATGCTCACACAGTCCACTGATTCTACCTCTTACTTGCAGGTGACCTTGCCTCTAGCAGTGATTTCTAAGATTTTTAATCTTATTGCCCGGCCTTTCATCCTGTGGCCCTTTGAATTTGTGGCTTTTTGAATCACTGTCTCACTGCTCTAATGTTTGCTTTTTTTTTATTTTATTTTATTTTTTTACTACTAGGCTCAAGTGATCCTCCTGCTTCAGTCTCCCAAGTAGCTGGGACTACAGGCATGTGCCACCACGCCTGGCTAACTTTAAAAAACAATTTTTTTGTGTGGAGATGGGGTCTTGCTATGTTGCCCAGGCAGGTCTGAAACTCCTGGCCTCAAGTATTCCTCCTGCCTTGGCCTCTTAAAGTGCTGGAATTACAGGAACGAGCCACTGTGCCTGGCCTCCTAAGTTACTCCCTCTCCTTAGTCTCTTCCAGTGCCTCTGCCTCTTCCCTTCATCCTTCCTTAGGAGGGAGGCTCAAATATCTCCCCTCCCAACAAACAGGTGGTGTGAGTTTTTTCTTTCCCTCCTATATCCTTGTCCTTTCGCCCCCAAGTAGGTAGGTGACAGTTTTCTCTTAACACCATCCTTTGTAAACGGATGGCTATTCCAGTTCTCCTTTGTGATGTCGCTAGTTCATGGGGATCTGGTTGTTCGTAATGTAACAGAAGGACATGGGATATGGCACCACGTGCATGAAGGTCCATTCTGAGCTTTGGGGGCACTTTCTGTCTCCCGTGAACCTCAGTGTAACTCAGTTCCCGCGAGTGCCTGTGGGAGCGGAGGCCCTGGCCCACCTTGCGCGGGTGATGGGCAGCCTCCCCCAGCACACGGACGTGCGCTTCTCACCGCCTCTGTGTCTTATTTTGCAGAGTCCAACTTAGGTTTGGAAATCAGCATTCATTGTCCATGTCACACCTTTCAGCCCAATGGAGATATCCTGGAAAACATTCACGAGGTGATGGAAATCAAATTCAAAGGTAACAAAATGAATGTGTGTGGTAGGATAATGGGACATTATGTGGTAGTTAATGGGACAGGACAGGCGACGAGACCCCTACCAGACCCCAAGAAAAGGAGCCATGCTTTTCCATGGAAAAGGCCAACTATTTTGCACTTGAGAAATTCTGCTTTGCCCCAAAAGCAATGAACTTGACTTTCAGCTCATAACTATAGAGGATGCATTAGCATCTGGAAGGCAGCATGATGCTGGTCAGAGCGGTGAGGTTATATAGGCAAGCTGGTCATCCTCTCTGAGCCCTGTGAAATGGGAATGAGGGTACAATTAAATAACAAATGTAAAACACAGTGTCAGAAATGCCCAACAGATAAGAGTTGTCTTCCCCTTCCCTAAAAGAAATTAACTTAGGAGGCCCTGAACATGAGTGCCCTGACTACTGTACTTTCCAGATGTTGCAGGGGCTGCCTGATCCTTGCCCAGGAGTCACCTGGGTTTGGATGATTGGTTTGAGGCCCAGGGTGTGTGTCCACGGGTGTTTGCATGGAGATGGCGAAGTAATTGGGAGTCATTCCTGGTTTTCCAGTATATTTCCAAGGAACTCAGCCTTGATGATCTGGAGTTCAGGAAAGTTCTCTTGTCCTTTCATATTCCCATTTTGGGTAACTAAGGGATGCCTGAGGTCAGAGGCTTGTCTGGGCAAAGGTACAGGTTCTTGGCTCCCTGCCTTAGGTAGTCCTCTTACCCTGCATGGACCCTATTTCAGACCCTTTTTTATTTTATAAATTAAATTTTTTAAAAAATTTTTTGAGACAGAGTCTCGCTCTGTTGCCCATGTTAGAGTGCCATGGCATCAGCCTAGCTCACAGCAACCTCAAACTCCTGGGCTCAAGCGATCCTCCTGCCTCAGCCTCCTGAGTAGCTGGGACTACAGGCACGCACCACCACGCACAGCTAATTTTTTTTTTCCTTTCTATTTTTAGTAGAGATAGGGTCTTGCTCTTGCTCAGGCTGGTCTCAAACTCCCAAGCTCAAGCTCAAGCGATCTTCCCACCTCAGCCTCCCAGAGTGCTAAGATTATAGGCATGAGCCACTGACTGGCTCAGACCTTTTTTTTTTTTAAAAAAAAAAAAGCCAAGGATTTGACATCCTAATCACAGAACCTTAGAGCCCAGGAGACCTTGAGAGTCCTTAGCTATAGGCTAGGTTAGGATAAAACCTTCCCACTTCAGTTAATACTTAATCTCATTCATAAAAATTTTCAGAAAAGGGAATTTGAAATCCAGGTCTCCTGTTTATCTTACAGACCTAGTGCCCCCTTCTTGAGATGCAAGTCCCCTGTAGCTATGTACATTAACTCCTCACATTCCTGTCCTCGGTGGAGGTGGATGGCAGCTGGCAGCTGTCTCTGGTGAAATCCAGCTCTGTTTAGTTGAGACTCTCTCTCATTCAGTCCTCAGTCCCTTCCCTCTCAGATGAAATAGTTCAGATGAATTCAGGTTTCCTTTCCAGAGCTCATTTGCTAAGCTATTTGCCATATGCCTCATTATTCATCTGAAATCATAGTGAAAACGCTTCAAAAACTGTAAGCACAATGTGAATGTTACAATTATTCAGAGTCTTTTATTTTTATTTTTTTAAAGACAGAGTCTTGCTCTGTCGCCCAGGCTGGAGTGCAGGGGTGTCATAGCTCACCGCAGCCTCCTGGGCTCACGCGATGCTCCTGCCTCGGGCTCACAACACAGTTTGTTTCTTTGGCTCCCGTTCAGGCTGTCTTAAATCATGATACCTTACATTATCGGTAGGACTTCTGCAGTGTCTTGAACAATTCACGTTATAAGAGGAAACTCACACCCCGAGATCCTAAGTCTAGAATGTAAACTGACAACCCAGAGGTATGTGTTAGGTACCCGCCTGGCGATGGGGATGCTTCGTGGACCTCTGCAGATTCCCAGGGAGCATCTCAGGAAGGGCTTTCTGCCCCTTGCAAGATTTCCCCGCAAGAGTCCTGAGGGATCGGAATGTGGGCCTCATTCAGGGGCGTCCTTACAATGATGATAAGTTCTTTCCATGCTGGGTCCCCGCCCGGCCCCCAGCCTTCCCCTTCCTGCAGCTGGATGTTGGAAAGAAGCCGCACTTGCCCCGCATGCCTTCCTCGTGGACTGCGCCGCCCCGCTTCTGGGCAGTGATAGGAGGGGACGAGGAGCCTCCGAGGGCTCTGCTTCCCTTAGGAGGGTGTCACCTTCCTTCCCTCCTGCAGGTGTGGACAATGAGGACGATCATGGCCGTGGAGACCTGGGGCGCCTCAAGAAGCAGAAGGACCACCACAGCCCTCATCTCATCCTCATGATGATCCCCCCACACCGGCTCGACGGCCCAGGCCAGGGGGGTCAGAGGAAGAAGCGGGCCCTGGACACCAATTACTGCTTCCGGTGAGCCCGGGCCCCTGGGAACCCATAGCTACTTGTGCTGCTGTGGGTCAGGCCCCAGACCTGAGCCACGCTCAACAGAAGGTCCCTGATGCTATTGACAAACATCTCCAGGAAGGAAGACTGAAAACCTTACAGCTCTCTTTCTGTTTCCCTGGGAGTCCCACTGTGTTTCTGCAGCCCAGCTCTGGACGGGCTTGGATGAAATGAGTGAGGAAAACTATGAGCAGGAGAGTGTTGCTCAAATACTTTGGATTGGAGATGCTTGGCTGAATCTTTCCATGGTTTTCATGTTTTATGGACTTGTAGGGGGTGTGTGTGTGTGTGAGAAAAAGAGAGAGAGAGAGAAGGAAAGAGATTAATGTAGGACTTTCCATTAAAGAAGTGCTCAGTTCACTATGAAGCATCCAGGGATGCTACCAGACGGGGGAAATGGTGCAGTTTTCATTTGCAGGGGAAATCTGAGCCAGAGAACTTAACTAATTCAGAAATAATAGAGTAGGCATGATACAGAGATAGAAAAAACACACCCTCCTCCCTTATTTGGGAGCAATTTCACTGCTCACGTATAAGGGAGGCGATGATAAAGCCTTTGTACCAGTTACTAAAAGGTAGAGACGAGCACATCCCTGAGAGGGTTTGAAGGAGTAAGTGCCTTAAGCATCGGGAGCAAGGAGTTCATCTGTGCGCACAGGCTTCAGAAGGGTGTGGGATTTGAGCGGAGGCTCCAAGGACCAGTGAGGTTTGGGATGTGAGGATCCAGGAGGAGAAGCACTTTGGGTAAAGGAGGGATCATGAGGGTCACTGTGGCTGGGAGGACGCCTGAATGGCGCCGGGGAGAATGAATTGGGAAGTCTTAAACCTGGAAACCGTGTCCTATGAGGACTAAACTAGGGATGTTGAGCTTATGGGGTGGAAGGTGCAGGACAGGCAGTGTTGTTGCTTCCAGCTGTCTGAAGGCCGGCAGGGCGATTTGTTCTGTGTGTCTGTCAGTTAGGAATGAATGCTCTTGGCTGCATGTGACAGTGACTTAAACCGTGTGGGGTTTCTTGTTTGCAGGAGGCCTGTAGCAGCATGCTCAGGGTTGGTTGGCTGTGTAATTTTACCACTGAGGAAACAGGCTTTCTCGCTTTCCAGCCTGACATGCTTATTATGTTGGCTTTTGGTCACAAGTGAAGGCTAGAGCTCCAGGTGTCTTGTCCATGTTTAAAACAAGAAGAAGGGGTGAGGGGAAGAGCCAGCAGCTTGCTTCTTCCATCTGTTACTTATATAAATGATCAAAATATCTTTGCCAGAACTTGCCTGCACCCCCTGCATACTTCTTATCTCATTAGTCATTCATTATTGGGTCATAAGACCACCCCTACCTGCGAGCGAAGCCAGGGACATGAATATCTGGTGTTCCAGACCCTGTCATGGGAAGTGGCAAGGGAGAAGGGGGTTATTCAATAACCATGGCTATTCAATAACCATTCAATAACCATTGGAATGGTTATTGAATAGATAACCAATAGTGTCTGCTGTGGTTCACTCATAAGCAGCCAGATTTTAGCCAGTAGCTGCCTATGTAAGTAGCAGGTTGCAAGATCAGCAGATCTTGAAACACAAGCTAGATGCCCACTTGGCAAATGGATTTCTTCAGGCAACAGAGTGAAGGGGCCTGATAATCCCATTTAGGTGATCTGGGATCAGGGTTCTATTAAGAGGATATGCCTTGTTTGGATAAATGGCCTCTAGATTTAGTCTGAGCAGTCATCTACTATGGTTTACAAGCTACACAGCTTAGAGTTTATTTCTGGTTGGGTGCACATTAGGAACCAACCTCAAGAGAGCTGAGCTGGCTAATAACAGAGTGCTTTGTATGGCACTTTATGTCTCTGTTTTGATTTGTGATGTGAAAGTGGGCAGGGCCACCTTCGACCCTTTACTCTTCCTCTTGCAGCATCTATATCCACTTCCTACATCCCTGGGGTCCTGGTATTCACTATAGGAGAATGCCTATTTTCTTCAGCCCTCTGCCCTTGAACCTGGGATTCCATTAATTAGAGCCACCTCCTATGATGGCATAGAAGGACTCCAAGGGGAAATAAGTGGGCATTTGTCAAGTTTCTTTTACTGGTGGTATCCTTTTTAAGTTGATTTTCTATAAATGTTTTCATCATAGCAACTTGGAGGAGAACTGCTGTGTGCGCCCCCTCTACATTGACTTCCGGCAGGATCTGGGCTGGAAATGGGTCCACGAACCTAAGGGCTACTATGCCAACTTCTGCTCAGGCCCTTGCCCATACCTCCGCAGCGCAGACACGACCCACAGCACGGTAGGCAGCAGGGCTTACGCCATCTGGGGCAACGGGGCAGAGCCGGCCAGGCCACTTGTTAAAAAGAATGCCACAAAGGACTGAATGTTGAATGAGTGAATGATGGTCTGGGGTGGGTAAAATCCCTCTCATAAAGGTTCTGATCTTGGCACCCTGATGCAATTCTACACCTTTACATTCCTACCATGGTTTCAACCAGACTTTTAATTTGCTTTGTCTAAAGATTTTTGTGCCATTGAAATGAATTATCATATGTCAGAGCTGTGTGCACATGGTTGGCAAGGAACGTTGGGGTAGAAAGGTGTCTACCATTAGATGAAGAACACTGATCATTCCAGCCTCTTGAGTGTAGAAAACTTATTCTGAAAGACAATGAAAAGCTTGTAGAAGAAGCTAATATGAAACCCTGGAAAAGTGTTTCATGAAACACTTTCATGAAAGTGAGAGAGAAGAGAGTCCACAATCTCTGAAAGTAGCTTGTCTTTCCCTCAAGGGGAATAAAAAATAGGGCAGTAATTTGTGAAGCATGTTTCCTTGTAGCTCATTATTACTGCATCCTGTCTGGGGCCCTGCACTCTGGCACTCACTAAATGGCCCAAGGCCATGTTGAGAACATTTCTCACCAAAGTGATCAGTTACAGCTAGGAGGACCAATATAGGAGTTGTTTTCTTAACAGCCAGGAGAATTTCATTATCAATTTAAAGTTCCCCAATAACTGTTACATGTTTCAACTGATAACCCTCAAACAAGTGTGGATGTCCTGCAATCTGTCATTGTGGATGAACAGCAAGTCCTCGCTCACCCAAACTGCGTTCCAGCAGTTCCTCTTAAGTAGCATCAGCGGCCATTCCACCGCTTGCTAAGTCTCTAGGGCAGCCCCCAGAACTTGTAGTATTCCTGGGCTCCAGGCCTGAGGCTTGGCTTTCCAACCTCTAAATAAATGATCTGTCCCTGCCCAGGTGCTGGGACTGTACAACACCCTGAACCCGGAAGCATCTGCGTCGCCTTGCTGCGTGCCCCAGGACTTGGAGCCCCTGACCATCCTGTACTATGTCGGGAGGACCCCTAAGGTGGAACAGCTCTCCAACATGGTGGTGAAGTCTTGTAAGTGTAGCTGAGACCCCGCCTGCGACAGAGAGAGAGAGGAGAGAACTGCCATGCTGACTGCCCGCTCCTCGGGAAACAAAAGCAACACACCTCACCTAGAGGCCCGGAGCCCACGACCTGCGGCTCTAGGCAAATGGCTGAGATGGAGGTTTCCTTCTGGAACATTTCTCTTTCTTGCTGGCTCTGAGAATCACTGTGGTAAAGAAAGTGTGTGTTGGGTTAGGGGAAGGCCGAACTCTTCAGAACACACAGATTTTCTGTGATGCAGACAGAGGTGGTGGGGGGAGAGGGGGATGGCCAGTCGACATGTCGTGTGGTGATGGGATTTGGGCTACCCTAGGGAGGAGGAAGGGCAGAGAATGGCCGGGTCAGGGCCAGAATGGAAGACACTATGGATCTGAGGTCAGATTTGCACATCGCTGTACCACGTATGCTCTAGGGAATCTGGATTATGTTATACAAGGCAAGCATTTTTTTCCAGAAAGGTTACCAAGATAAAGTCCCAGAATTGTATTTCGTGCTACCTGTGATTACCAGCAAATCTTGTTAGTTTTGCAAATTGTCCTCTCTGTATCAATTAGCAGTGTGGGTCACCGCAGGGAGAAAATCTAGGTAATGTGGTTCCCGGGCCATCAACTATACTAGGCCTTATGGATACGCTGAACTCAGAAGCAAAGGGTGAGAAGTAACCCCCTCCTGTCTGCCCTCTGGGTCCCTCCTCTCACCTTCTTCCTCGATCTTATTTCCCCTGGACATCTGGCTAGATGCCTTCCGGGTCAGGGTGCACACGTCTGCATTGTGGGTCCACGCAGCCTCGGGGCATTATGGGTCCCCCTCCCCCCAAGACCCTGTGTTCGTTTGGTGTTCCTGGAAGCAGGTGCTACAATACGCGAGGCGTCCGGGGAAGCTGCACGTGTGCCGCGCAAGACTTGGCCCAGATGCACAGACGGAGGGATGAAGACAAATACAAATATTACTCTCAAAATCTTTGTATAAATAAATATTTTTGGGGAATCTTGGATGATTTCATCTTCTGGAAGATTGTTTCTAGAACAGTAAAAGCCTTATTCTAAGGTGTACGTCTGACTGGATAAATGTCCTTAATTACCCTTTTCTTAATTCCATGTCCACATGTACTCATCAGAGGCACCTGGGAGCTGGGGCAGAGACTCTCTCAGTCATCAAATACGTTGCTTGGAGTGAATGCCTTCCCCAGTGGGCACACTGCTGACTTCTGCTGTCTGAGAAGGCTGTGCTCGTGCCCCTCCCTTCTCGCAGAGCACACTATTCTCAGACACACAGAAGCAGCAGCTCAGATTTGCAGGAGCACATGCATTGAAGCTCCGGATTACTGTGGCCATAATCCCTTGGTGTGAACTCTTGTATTGGAAATGTGGTTTGTATATTAACTATAAATTAGCAACAGCATGCCATTTTTGAAAATCTCATTCCAACCATTTTTGAAAATCTCATTCCAACTCTATCAATGGAGAATTAGAGAAACTGTGGCAAACAGCCTAAGAATATGAGGCTAATTCTGTTATCAGCTTAAGCCTAACAGAGCTAACCAGGAACCCCTTTCCAGACTGTGTGTCTCTTATCAGGGATTTGGGAGTGGGAGAGGGCAAGCACAGTCCCGTAGTTCTCTTGTGAGCCCATGATCCCAGAGCAATGCAGAATTCCACTGGGGTATGAAGTCCACCCAGGGCCATCTGCAATGAGCGAGCACAGAGAAAGGGGCTGCTTAGCAGCTCCTGAGAGACATGCCCTGCAAGTGAGGCCACTTTACCATTGGTTAAAAAAAGTCTATCTGAAGCTAAAATTTACAGGCTGAAGGATGTGTATGGTATGTTCATGCCTGCACGTGTGCCTGTGTGTGTGCACGCGAGCACATGTATAGGTATGTGTGTACTTTATTCTTCTGGTGTTCTCCAAGTCTCTCCTGAGTTTGGTCGGTAAGACATTTTTCCTGCTTTATCGATGCCCAGCCCACACTAAGGGCTTCTTGCTCAGTGTTCATCCATGTGGCACCCATTTACTTCTACTGTCCTTCAGCAGCTACGTCCTTGTTCTGAAATCCTGGCTGGTGGGATTGTGCTCCATCTTGCCCCGGAAGCCACTGGGCACAGAGAGGGATACAGCACACTTGGCATGACAGCCTGGGCTGTTTCTCTCCCTGGGTCAGAGTCGATCGCTTGTGGCAGCCATTCTCAAATTTCACGGGGCATGACAATCACCCTTTAAAATGTACAATTTTAGGCTGCAGCTCTAGAGATAACTTCAGGATTGAGGTGCAGTCCAGGTTGCCTAATAACTAAGTATATTTTGAGAAGCACTGTATTATATCTGACATCACCAGTTCTTACTTGAGGCTTAGATAAGGAAGAGGGAAATAATTTTTCTGGCCCTAGACTAAACCTCCCTTTTATCCAACTTCACTAAAACGTTGACCTGCGGTTCATCCTAATGAACCAAGGCAACTAGATGTGTTTCCTGAAGCATCCCAAAGAAAACAGAACACACTGTGATTCCAAATGTTCTTTTTATGTCAGAGCTCTACTCTTAGGTTAAGCAGCAGATATAAATATGGACAGGAGTCTGGAGTCCAGCCTCCCCATTCCACACCCATGATAGGCACCACAGAAACTTGAACCATTGTCCTTCTTCAAAAATACACACTTGTTTTGGGGGAAAGAGTGACAATGGAAATGTTACCTCTCTTGGAGGAGAGCTCACATGATCTGTCTGGTTTATCACCAAGAAAAGTCCAGTACAAGTAAAAATGACTTGAGAATTCATGGATACATGAAGGAAGAGATATGGAGTCTGCGCACCTGATCAGCACATGGTGAATGCAGTAAGAGATTAGCTTGAGGATTTCATTTTGGTTGGTTACCTAGGACAATTCTAAGCACTATTCTTGGTCTAAAAGTTCTTCCTCTGGGCTCATAACCTTACGCTTTTTCATAAGATTCATGTGGAATAAGGAATTCTAATGTGTCTCCTAATCAACTCAGAACCAAGTAAGTTAACAGTTAAGATGGTCCTCCAACTACTATCTAGAAAAGTCTTAGGAACAACTGGAATACATTCTCGCTTCTCCCCTGCAACCAACAGACCTCATCCTTCACAAGCAAATAAAATTCCTCAATGTGCCCAAACCTTTGCTTTCATTCACTGAGAAGGCAACACGGTCCCTTTTCTGCCTTTTTGGGAGTCATTTTTCTCTTGGGATTTCAATGCTGAATTTACAGGACCTTGTTGCAGAAGCCTCAGACTCTGGATTCTCCCCCAGTAGGGCAGCTAAGTGACTCCTTCAGTGGGCTCTGCGGCCCAACTTTCAATCTTTTCTCCCGCAGCAGCCAGAGACAGGACCTAGGAAAGGTGAGCATGCAGGAGAGCTGAGGGTCCAAGGAGCGCACGAGGGGCCGTGCTGCGGCACTCAGACAGGCTGTCAGGGGAGCAGTGTGCACGTGGGTACAGAGTCGCACGCCACTGGGACCGCACTGTGGGTGAGCCTGCCTGCCGTGGGCTGGAATGGAGATGGGATGGAACACACACCAGCTTCCCAGGTGCGGGTGCTGCCCTTAGCCCCACCATCTGCTGAAACAAAATGTAAAAACATGTCTTTATAGCTCATATTTCTAAAATGAAGTTAAAAAATTGCCCAGCAATAAAGTAAAATGAAAAGTTGGTTCCATTTCAGTCTTGTTTGTGAATACTGATTGTTGGGAAATTAGTAAATGGAAAAAAAGAAAATAGAAATAGAATTACTTTATTAATCTTAGAAATCAGTAATTTGAAAGGGTACCTTTACCCTGGCTCATGTTATCAGCAGCACACTGACTGGTCTCCTCTCTCTGGGAGACTTGTGATGTATGTTCTTCCCTCACCCCAGACCCTCTTGAAAGGGAAGAGCAACTTTGGTAGATAATGATGTTGGGATTTTAAGCTTGTACAAGGAAAATATTGCTGAGTACTGCAATCTGGAAAAGAAGAGGAAGCAAAATGCAAATAGCCAAAGAGCCTCTTTTATATCATCTCTGTGCAGTAGCAGGAAAGGGACAGGAGAAGACCTAAGCAGGTTGGGGGTGGGGGTAAAGGGAAGGTAAAAGATACATGTGTGCTCTGATGGGTTAATAATGCAGCAGCTGAACGTCCCCACTTCTGAGTTCCATCAAAACCCAGAGGATCTGTTTTCCTGTTGTCCCAGTAAAAGTCTGGATTGGCTGATCTACTGCCACTTCTGCTTGAAGGCTCTGGGGACTCTGAGGCAGCAAAAAAATACTATGGACCCCCTTGCAGTGCTGGTGGATGCTTCACCCTCAGTCACGCACCCAGGAGTGGTGAATAGGTTCTTCCTCCATGTCTTTGTGGTTCATCTTTTAGTGTGAGCAGGATCTGAAAAAGAGAAAGTCAACCACTAAGTGACTAAAAGAGAGTGTGTGGTGTGAGAGTGTGTGGTTTTACTTACAGCAGTGTCTGGTGTATTAAACATCACTAAAGAATAAAGAACTGCTGGCCCAAATAAATGAGGTTCACCTCCAAGTACAAAGCTCTTGATGTTACCCACTTTTGTTAGAAACCTTTCTAAAACACTCCTGTTCTGCTGCTGCTATTTTGGTGTAGTTCTCTTAGTTTCCTTTTTTCTTTTTCTTGGATAAAATCATTTTCTCTCTTTTGCTTCTCAAATAGAAGATGCTAAATATGTTCATCTTTTCTAGAAACTCAGGGTCAGCATTTTTAAACTGCACGGAAAAACCGTTCATTGTGCGCTTCTAAGTTTTCCTGAATCTTCCCTCAATGTCAGGTTGTCAGGTAATCCTTTGCCTTCTAGTCAGCCCTTGGATCCCCACATTATACCTACATACCCACCACCCAAGTTAAGAAAAGGATCATTACCCTGAATGCTTGTTAGACCCTCCCAATTCTTTCCCATTCTCATTATCCTGAATTTTGCGTTTATCCTTCTGTTGTTTAAAAATAGGTGTATTACATATATTTATACCCCTAAATAATACATTGTTTAGTTATATGTGGTTTGGAATTTTATAGTGCTCTCGTGAGTTTCTTTGGGAATGCACTCAGGATAATTGCTGGGTGGTAAGCGCTTGCATCTTCAACTCTCCAGTGCCATCTTATCTTCCAGAGTGGCTGTACAATTCACACTCTTCTGGCAGTGGAGGAATTGCCCCTGTTTCTCCACACCTTCTACATGTGGAGAAGTGGTATTGCCTCAGTTTAACATTTTTTTGCACATCAAGTGGGCATACAATGGTATCCCACTGTGGTTTTAATCAGCATTTTTCTGATTAGGAATGAGGTTGGGCATCTTTTCTAGTAACTACTGTGCATACATGTTTCTTTTATGAAATGCATGGGATGCCTTTTGCTTATTTTCCTACTGAGTTGTTTACTGATTTTTTAAAAACAGCTTTGAGATATAATTCACACATCATACAATTCACTCCTTTAATGTGTACAATTCAATGGCTTTTAGTATATTCAGAGGTGTGTATCCATCACCACCACAATCAATTTTAAATTTTTTTTTTTTTTTTGAGACAGTGTCTCACTCTTACTCAGGCTGGTCTTGAACTCCTGACCTTAAGCTATCCTCCAACCTCGGCCTCCCAGAGTGCTAGGATTACAGGCATGAACCACTGCTCCCTGCCACCACACCACCACAATCTACTCCTTTTTATGGCTGAATAATATTCCATTATATATATATCACATTTTATTTAACAGTTGTGGACATCTCAACTGTTTCTACCTGTTGACCAGGCTGCCCCGGATCCCAGGGCCAGGCTCCAGGGCTGGGTCTGTCCTGCTGGGCAGGCCTTTCTCTGCCTGCTCTGTGTCCCTGAGCCCTGCAGTCTGGGACCCTCCAGAGTTATGTGTGGAGGACAGGGCACTTGTCCAGGGTCACCGCTGTGTAGCTCTGTAGCCCCCAAGGTCTCAGTGACAGCAGAGAGTGGGAGAGTGCATGGGTTGGGGGTACCCCAAATGGCACCTGTGGCCCCAGCCCACCATGTGCATACTGGGGTGGGGCAGTTATTATAATATATAATATAATATTATAATTATAGCATTATTATGCTATAATAATTCATGTACAAATTTTTGTTTGAATATATGTTTTCATTTATCTTGGGTATAGATCTAGAAGTAGAATTAATTGCTGGGTGATATGTTTAAACATTTGAGGAACTGTCAAACTGTTTTCAAAAACAGTTGCACCATTTTACATCCCTGCCAGCACTGTTGAAGGTTCCAATTTCTCCACTTGGGTGTGAAGTGTTATCCGGCTGTGTGTGGTTTTCATTTGCCCCAGTGGCTAATGATATTGAGAATCTTTTCATATGCTTACTGGCATTGCATATTTTCTTTGGCAAAATGTCTGTTCAGATCCTTTGCCCATCTTCAAAATTGAGTTGTCTTTTTTATTATTGAATTGTAAGAGTTCTTTTTATATTCTAGATGTAAGTCCCTTGTCACATACATGATTTGTAAATATTTTTTCCCATTCTGTGGGTGGTTGTTTCGCTTCCTTCATAGTGTTCTTTGAAACACAAAATTTAAAAATTTTGATGTCTAGTTTGTCTATTTTTTCTTTTGCTATTTATGCTTTTGATGTCACATCTAAGAAACTGCTTACTGAATTTTGGAAGTTCTTTGCTTAGTACCTGGGTACTAATTTTTTGCCTTTATGTATTACAAAGATCTTCACCTAGTTTGTGACATGTCTCTTTACTCTCTTTAGGTACTTTTTTAGGAGATTGTTTTATGATTTATTAATTTGTAAGAAAAGTCCTATCCAGGATAAAAGTTAGATTATATTTAGCTATGCACTTAACAAGTGACCTTTTCAGAAAACAATTTTTAAGAAATGTTAAGACTTCCACAAAAGCCAGGAAAGTCACCATAAAAAAGGATGGTTTCTTAAAAAAGAAAACACTTTTTTAAAATAAAAAATTTCAAATATATATACAAACACAAAAATAGTATAATACACTTCCATGTTCCCATCATCTAGCTTCGATAATTATCAACATTCTACCATTTGTTTCATCTCTCTCTTCATGTTTTTTTCCTGGAGTACTTTCAAAGCAAACCCAAGATAATATATCATTTCACTCATAAATATTTCACAGTATATCTCTAATGGATAAGGACTAAAGGAAAAAAAAACCCCACAATATCTTTATGGTATCTTAATTCTTAATTTTAACAAAGTCAAACTTGTCAATTTTTACCTTTATAGTCTGCACTTTTTTTTTTTTTTTTGAGACAGAGTCTCGCTTGTTGACCTGGCTAGAGTGAGTGCCATGGCGGTCGCCTAGCTTCACAGAGCAACCTCAAACTCCTGGGCTCAAGCAATCCTTCTGCCTCAGCCTCCGAGTAGCTGGGACTACAGGCATGAGCCACCATGCCGGCTAATTTTCGTATATATATTAGTTGGCCAATTATTTCTTTCTTTTATAGTAGAGACGGGTCTCGCCTTGCTCAGGCTGGTTTCGAACTCCTGACCTCCAGCAATCCACCCGCCTCAGCCTCCCAGAGTGCTAGGATTACAGGCGTGAGCCACCGCGCCCGGCTTATAGTCTGCACTTTTTTGGCCTAATTAAAAACCCTTTCCCTACTCTGTGGTCATAATGATGCTGTAATGTCTTCTGAAAGATTTACACTTTTGTCTTTCACATTTAAGTCTTTAATCCAACCTAAAATTGTGTACAGTGTGAAGCACATATCTAATTTGATTTTTTTCCAATATAATAATTGTCCTAACATTATTTATTGGAAATTTATCCTTTCCAACTTTAACTGCAATGCCTCTTGGTCAGAACTGTTTCCTACATATAGGAGACCAGTTTTAGCTTTCTCTATTTTGTGCCAACACCACACTCTCTTAAGTACTTTAGCTTGATAATAATTCATGTTATCTGGTTAAGACAGGACATACACAGCTCCCTATCCTCATCCCCATTCTTTAGGACTACAAGGGTTATTCTTTTCTCTTCCATATAAATTTCATAATCAGTTTATCAAATTTCAAAAAAAAATAAACAATTAATACCCCTTTCAAATCTATAAATCAATTTTAGGGAGATCTTTACCAAACTGTGACTTTTAATCCATGAACATGTAGGTCTCTCCATTAATTTTTTAAAGTGTCTCTCAATAGGTCTTACACATATATTTTAGTAATAGATCTTAAATATCTTTTATTACATTTGTCCTTAGGTGTATATTTTGATGCTCTGTGAAAGGTAACTTTTCTGTAATCACATGCTTTACCTGTTTTTTGAGTTATATTCAATAGAAATCTAATTGATTTTAGAAAACTCTCTTTAAAAGTTAATTTATTTCAACATTCTTTTTGGGTTTCTCATCAAATACCTTATATGTTATCAGAGAATAATGATAGATTTGCTTCTTTCTTTCTGCTCCATAAGTCATTTCCCTTTCTTATTTTACTTTACTGGCTAGGACTTCCCACTACAGCATGGAGTAGAAGTGATGGTGGGCGCTTGTCTTGCTCCCCATTTTAAAGGCACTGAATGCTTTCAAAGTTTCCCAATTAAAAGTATGATGTTTACTATTGGATTTTGTAGAGATACTTTATTACTAGGTAATGAAAGTTTCCTTCTATGCTAGGCATTTTTTTAAGTCATGAGGATACTGAATTTTATCAAATGCTCATTCTGTATCCATTGAGAGACGCATATGATTTTCCCCCTTTAATCTGTTACTGCAGTAAATTACATTAGCCAATTTTTAAATATTAAACAATTGTTGAAACTCTGGGATAAACCTAACTTGGTCATGATGTATTGTCTTTTTTTAAACATTACTGGATTCAATTTGCTAATGTTTTGTGTTTTACTTGGAATTTTTGCATTTTCATCCACGATTAAGAATGTCTTGTAAATTTAGAACTTTTTTGGACTGTCCTTGTCAGGTTTTGATATTAAGATAAGGGATTGCAAAGTGTTCCCTCTTTTTCTATATTCTGGGGTAGTTTGTAGATTGGAATATTTGTTCCCGGAATGTTTGGTCGGACTCACCAATAAACCATAAAAGTCTGGTGTGTTTGTGGGAAGATTTTTGTTCTTGATTCAGTTTCCTTAATAATTAAAGGGATATTTGGAGTTTATATTTCTTGAGTAAATTTTTATAATAGGAAACTGTATCCATCTCACAAAAGTTTTAAAAATGTATCAGTATAGTTATTCATAATATCTTCCTACAATCTGTTTAATCTCCGAGGCATATATAATAATGTCTCTATTCATTCCTCTCAACTCTGTGTTTATTTTCTACTTTATTAATTTCCTCTCTTATCTTTATTATTTATTTTCCTTTACTTGTTATTTTCTTTGGATTTATTTTGTTGT